CTCTCTGCAGTCCGGGCAACGTGGCAGCCGCCCCACCCTCACCCGCGGAAACAAACAAACACTGAACTTGGGGGGGCGCGGGGGGGATGCAAGGCAATCGCGCCCTTGTGAGGGAGCCTCGTGCGGCGGGTCTCCTTGGCCCGGGGCCGCCTCCTTCCCTTCTCTCGGAGGGGGGGTTCTGCGGAGGTGGGGCAGGAAACAACAGAGCGCCCTTGGCCAGCAGCTCCCAATGGCAGCCCCTAATGGCCACCCTAGGGATGGGGGGGGGGTTTACTCCTCGCCAGGCGTCTCGGGCGTCCCCCCAGGGCCAGAGCGAAAGGACGGGCCCGTAGCCGAAAAAGCTGCTGGAGAGTCCCCTGCTCCCTGCTCCCCCACCCCGGGTCGCTGCTGCTGCTGCATGGAATCCTGCGGCGGCCAAGGCTGGGGTGGTTCTGGGCTCCCTGCCGATTCGCGCCCGCGTTCACCCTCTCTCGCTCTGTTGTCTCCCTCTTCTTCTCCTCCTCCTCCCCCTCCTCCCGCCCGGGACCGCAGGCCCCCGATCCCGCAAACCAAAGAAGAAGAACCCCAACAAGGAGGACAAGCGTCCCCGGACGGCCTTCACGGCGGAGCAGCTGCAGAGACTCAAGGCGGAGTTCCAGACGAACAGGTACTTGACGGAGCAGAGGCGGCAGAGCCTGGCTCAGGAGCTCAGCCTCAACGAGTCGCAGATCAAGATCTGGTTCCAGAACAAGCGGGCCAAGATCAAGAAGGCCACCGGCAACAAGAACTCCCTGGCGGTTCACCTCATGGCACAAGGACTGTACAACCACTCCACGGCCTCGAAAGACGGCAAGTCAGACAGCGAGTAGAGGTGGTGGTGGTGGGGGGGAGCCTGGGACAGCCGGGGGCGGGGGGAAGGAAGGGGGGGTCAGTCAGAGTTTATACAATGCAATAATTTAATGAAGAAGGGGGAAAAAACAAAACAAAAAACAAGGGCCAGTGTATAAAGACTATACCAGCATAAATAGTGGGAAATATTGTGTATTAGATATAATTCTGCAATATTCTGTGTATATGTGTACATAAATATATATAATTTACAGGTAAGGTGTTGTAAAAAAAATCCGAAATATCTGATTATAAAATATTTTTTTGATTTTTTTTGTTCGACGGAAATTTTAGATGCTATCTTTATCAATTTTTTTAAGAGCTTAAGTTACCTTTTTTATAGACTTAAGCACTGTTTGAAAGGGACATTGGACATTGTTTTTTGAAATTCAAAATATTAAAACAACTTTTGCTGACGTCCAAAGATTTTTATTGCTGCATTTCACGAGACTGTGAATCGAATAAATAGCTCTCCTATTTGTTCTACGAGTTTTACCGTTTCTTTCTCTCCTCCCACCCTCGCTTCATTCTTTCGCCTCGGCCTTTGGGGTGGGTATAGAATGAGCTTTTCGTCGTTTAACTTTGTAAATATTCTTGGGGGAGAGAAGCCCCGGAGAGGGAGCCTTCCGCCCGGGAGCCTGGCCGTTCCATTGGCTCAGCCAAAACGGGGAGGGGGCAGGCTCAGCCAAGGCCGACCGTGAGCAGGCTTCTCGGACAGCTGCTTCGGGGAATCGGGCTTTCCGTTCCCCCCGCTTCCCGGGAGCCTGCTGGGAAAAGTTTGTAGAGGAATCCCGGGAGAGCGCAAAGGGAAAGCGCCCTGTTCGAAGGGAAGGCGACTTTTTCTCGCTAGTTGAGGGCCGAGGCCTTTGCCCTGTGCCAGACAGACGCCCCGCGCTTCCGAGACCTCTCCGCAGCTAGCTAGCTTCGCGGGTGTTTTGCTCTGCCTCTTGCGAGCTGCTGTCTGTCTCCTTCAGCAGCTCGGCCAGGACTTTGCACAAAGCCTGTGGCGGCGGTGCGAGGGGCTGTGCATGTGATCGGGGTGTAAAGGGGAAGTTTGCATCGCTGGTCCTTTCAACGCAAACGTGGGACAGCGGAGGCCTGCCCAGGCAACCGGCCTGCGCTGGTCCAGGGGCTGCGGCGAAAAGAACAAATCCTGAGGAAGAGGAGGGGGGGAGAGGGCTCTGTTTCAGCCCCACTGACTTCTGCTATGCTCGAGGATATGGGGAGGGGGATAACTGCTGAAATGCTTCCCTTGGGAACGGTGCAGTTTTATTTTCTGCTACACTTCGCCTTGCATTCCCGAAAAGGGGAACGGTTGTCAATAGAGCCTATGCTGAACTTCTAAATGACGAAGGGTTTGGAAAGGCGATTGGGTTGTTTTTAGTTTTATTTATTGCCTCTTCTCTGTCCTTCATTTTAAACCTTGAATTCTAGGTGAGGTGTGAGAAATCTCAGTGTTTTTACATTCTGTGTGTGTGCGCGCGCGCGCGCGCGCGTGTGTGTGTGTGTGAGAGAGAGAGAGAGAGAGAGAATTTTGATTGTGATCTTTGACCCAAATCTCGATTTCGCCTCCCCTCCTGGAAAAAATGTCCGAAATATTGGCTAGAGGCATGACAGCCCGGCAAGAGATTCAGAAGTGTACTCGCCTTTTTTTTTTATCACTACTTGCTTTTGCCTTAAAACCTCTCTGTACGTCACAATTATAATCGACACGCGTTGTACATAACAGTATCAATTTTGGAAAAAGAAAAACCACTTATGAATTCGATGCTGTAATTTTAAATTCTGTGACTAGCCACCTGCTGCTTAGGAGACAGAATTCAGTGGCATTGCCTTTTAGCAAGAAAGCAAAGGTGCTTCCCCCCACCACCAGTTTATAGAACACGTGAATTTTACAACTTGCAGTATAAAATATTTATAACTTTATGAAATATGAATGTTTCTATTTATAGTTGCAGTCTCAAAACTGTGGACATTTTCACTCCATTTTATGTGTTTAAATCCTTGAAGACGGCATGAAATTAAAAAACCCCACGTTTATTATAAAATCTACCATGCGTACATCAGAACCTCAGACTGGAGCAATACATAGTCCTGCATAGGCATTGTTAAGTCCTAAAAGGATTGTACACAGGTGGAAGAGAATTGTGAATGTCAACTGAAAAGAAGGGGATTTTATTTTGTTTTTGCTGCCAGGATGTTAATCGATTTTTTTGCATAATTAACACTGCAACCCATTTACTAGAGAGTAAGCCCCATTCAGCTCAATGGGACTTTTGGTGAGGAGGGCACTTTAAGAAACTTTAGGCAATACATCTACATCAGAGGTCAGAGCCGCCATTTTTTTCTTAAAAACACACACACACAACCCTGTTCAGGTCTAGCAATACAACATGACTGTAAAAAAATTAAAAATGGCTTGTTCAACATGTCCTCTACATATATCATCACCCTCTTTTTGAACGAAAATATAAACATTTTAACGCCCAAACAATTCGAAAAGTAATTTACAGTAAAATCCTAAACAGAGTTACATGCTTGTAAGCCCGTTGACTTCCTTGGGTTTAGAAGACCGTAATTTTACTTAGGATCGCACTGTTAGAAACTGTGCTTGCAAAACCATAAGATATACAAACATATAAATATTATTCTATAAATAGTTATAGCAGGAAAATCTTATTCGTACTTAAAGTCCGGGGGGGGGGGGATGCGGGGGGGGGGGGGGAGAAATCAATGTCCTCATTTGCTTTAGTGCAGTAAAGGAGATTTAATTCCCGGATAGTTCAGCCAATTCTCTTCACTAGACTCCGAAGAGAGAAACAGGCCATCGACACCATTCTTAGACCTTATTCCGGCTGCATCAGTTAATGCACCGAAACGTTATTCCAGTCGAGAAAGCCCCCCAAATATAGTTGGTGACTCTCTGAGCCCGACCAGCACACCGCATAGTTTTGCTTCCGCGTCTGGGAGCCGCCTCCTGAAGCAAAAGCAGGCAACGGTGCCCACAGTCAAGTTGTCGCCAGGGGTTCGGAAGCGCACACCCGGGATTCTGGCGGAAAGTAAGCATCTCTGTCAAACGGTGTAAAAAGTCTTAGCAGGCCGAGACGTTCTTGGAGGGAGAAGTCACAGGCTTGCAGGAAATCGTCGTTGTCCGTTTCACATTCACGTTGAGTTGCCTTCCAGGCCCCCACAGCGGACAGCAGCCCTGGCGCGCTGAAGGCGCACGAACTTCGTCAAGTGTGCGGCATCAAAAGTTGTGTTGGGACCAATGTTCCCTCTAAGCTGAGTTAGTGTGAGCTAGCTCACACTAACTCAGCTTAGAGGGAACAGTGGTTGGGACCACTTTAGACCGCGGAGTCGAAGTTGTGCAGCATTTTTGTTTATTCGGAAATCAGTCTCGTTGTGTGCGGTAAGGCTTACGCCCAAGTAAGCGTATCTAGTTGCAGCTTCTAAAACTCAGCCGCCTGGACTCGAAAGTGCCGGGTGTTCTTGTCTAGAAATGCAGGTGCCCGAAGGCAGAAGTTTGCTGGAGAAGTCAGCAGCGCCCGAAGGAGAAGACACTTGAGGCAGACTAGTTGGATGTGAAAGAAGCAGAAGTCCAGGGGCATCTTACAGACATTTAGTCTATCGTGAGCTTTGGTAGGTCGGTGCTCGTCTGTTCAGAGAAGCGAGCTCTGGCTCACCAGAGCTCAATCTAGGCTCGTCTGTTCAGAGAAGCGAGCTCTGGGTCACCAATCTGGAACAAAGGTCTTTAAGATGCCACTGGACCTATTTTGCTACAATAGGCTGACGCCACCACCCTTCTGGGGTTATCAGGTAGAATCTAGGACCTAGCCGAGGACTCCACAGAGCTCTCCCTGGGCCACCCTGTTCTCTGGCCCATGCCTGCGAAGAAGCAGGCGAAAAGCCGAGAAGGCCAAAGGGCCTCCTGGTCTGTCCACGGGGGGCGTTGACTGGGAGTTTCAGCCATGCAGAACTGGATGGCCGATGTAGGGGAAAGCAAAGCACGATCCACGTCATTTCACTCGTATTTTTCGAACTGCTGCAACGACAGTTCGACGCAGCACCCCGACCAAATCGCCACACTCAAAGCAAACCCATAACTGGCAGCGGGCGATGGTCACGGGAAACGATGCCAATTTTGAAAACACTGAATTTCTTTGATTTTAGCGATGCCTGCGTCCACATTTTCACGAGCGGGCTGGTACACACAGTTCAAGACACACGATGAACTCGCGCCACAGTCTGATTAAATCGAAGTGCTGCTATGCGAGACAAATTTAGTCCCACTACCAACAGGGTGGCTGAATCGATTCGACTTCTTTAGTACTTCCTCTGCATCAGGCAGCGACCAAAGGGTTCAGGTCCGTGCAAGGCTCCACTCGCAAAGCACCCCAATCTTAAATTTACCAAGTAAACAACAACAACACCCAGTAACTTTCTGAAAGAAATGAGGCGCTCAAGTATCTCAGTTTTCCTTGGGAGGCGTCATTAGCTTCCACATAATTTGCTTCCAAATAAATACATGAAGAGTAACGCCTTTAAGGCGTTGAAGAAAAGTGTGTTTATTTTCCTTTGTTTTTCCATTTGGCTCCCCAGGCTTTTAATGGAGTTATTTCCCAGTAATCACAGATAATGGCATTTCTGATTAAAGCAAATGCCTTCAAACAGGAAACCTTATGAGGAAGTACTATCAGAAGGTTGGGCGTGATTGGATAAAAGCCTAATCATGTGCAATTAAGTTGAATATGGACCCTAACTTTGAGCAAGGAGGTTGCTTCATAAGCAATTTCGGTTTCGATGCTGCAGTCTACGGGAGGCATCGCGCCTCGGCGGGAATATTGCAATCTGTAAGGTCCCACTCAGGCAATATTCCACGACATAGCTAGGCACTATATATGCAAATAAGCTTGCCCTATTGTGCCATAGGTAGGAAGCATGATGGATTCGCTGGCTATTTACACTGGTGTAGCCATCTCGG